AGGCTGTAACAACATCCATTAGATGTAAATTGAGTCCTTTATTTACTGCGAGGCTAATCAAGTATCGAAAAGTAGTTGCATCCACTATTGGTGAATAAGTTTCTTCAAAATCGATACCAGGTCTTTGTGTAAATCCTTGGGCAACAAGTCGTGCCTTATATCTTATGATTTACCCTTTTCATTTCTCTTTCGCATAAAAACCCATTTATATCTAACCGGTTTTACATCTTCAGGTGTAAGGACTACTGGTCCAAAAACTTTTCGCTGTTTTAGCGATTCTAATTCTGCCTCAATTGCATCTTTCTATTTTGGCCAATCCTTTCTTTGTTTACATTCACTAATTGACTTTGGCTCATGATCCTCATTATCATTTATCACATCGAGTGCTACATTATAAGAGAAAATATCATCAACGTCGACTTTACTTCGGTCCCATCGTATCCCATTCATAACATAATTAAGTGAAATCTCATCATTTTCACATATTTCAGGTACCTGACTTTTACTGAGAATTGGGATGTTAGCGTTGTCTAATGACTCTTCTGGAGTTGCTAACTTTTCTAAATTATTCTCGACTAGGCCATCTATACTTTTAGCTCCTTTTTTCTTTTGAGAATTTTTATCTTTGGAGCCGATGGGTCTGCCATGCTTCATGCGTGCTTTAGAATCATTCACAATTGGTTGTCCATCAGGGACATCAATTTTAATAGGAGTATTAATAGCTAGAATATGTGATTTTGTTACTCTCTTTGGGTCAGTAAATGCATCTGGTAATTGATTTGCTAAACTTTGTAAATTGACTATCTTTTGAACTTCCAGTTCACATTCTTTTGTGCGAGGATCAAGATGAGACAGTGATAATTCTTTCCAACTAATATCCTTTTCCAACTTCTTATTTTCTCCCCTCATTGTTGGAAAAACTGACTCATCAAAATGACAATCGGCAAATCGAGCCGTGAGCAAATCTCCTGTTGACGGTTCTAGATATTTTATTATAGCTGGAGATTCATATCCAATATATATTCCCATCCTTCTTTGAGGCCCATCTTGGTACATTGTGGGGGAGCAATTGGAACATGTACAACACATCTAAAGGTTCTTAGATGGGAAATATTGGGTTCGTGACCAAAAACCACTTATAAAGGGGAGGACTTGAGATAACTTGTTGGCCTGATGCGAATTAACATTGCTGCATGTAAAATTGCATGTCTCCAAGCAGAAATTAGGAGATTTGATCTCATAAGTAATGGTCTCGCAATTAATTGTAAATGTTTGATCAATGATTCTGCAAGTCTATTTTGTGTGTGCACATGAGCCACAAGATGTTCAACATCAATTCCAAGAGACATACAATAATCATTGAAAGCTTGTGAAGTAAATTCACCAGCATTATCAAGACGTATTTTCTTGATAGGAAAATCAGGGAAATGTGCTCTTAATCTAATTAATTGAGTCAATAATCTTACGAACGCCAGGTTACGTGAAGATAATAAACAGACATGCGACCATCTTATTGATGCATAAATTAGAACCATAAAATATCGAAATGGTCTGCATGGTGGATGTATCGGTCCACAAATATCTCCCTGTATGCATTCTAAAAAAGTGAGAGGCTCACTTTTTAGTTTTCTTGATGATGGCCGAACAATTAACTTTCCCTTGGAACATGCATTACATGAGAAAACATTAGATTGTGGTATTTATTGACTTTTCAATGAATGCCCACATGAATTCTCAATTATTTTTCGCATTATAATTGTCCCGGGATGGCCTAACCGGTCATGCCAAACATTAAATTTGTTATCATTTATAAACTGCTAGTTTATAATGATGTGTACTTCAATTGTACTAATAATTGTGTAGTGTTAGGATTATAGTTTTGATGATAACAAAGTCAGAAAATTTGGGTTAAGTATTTTGATCGATCAACTGATCGATCAATCGTTTATCGCTAAGGTTTCAGATAATTGTTCAAATGTAAATCAGGTTTATAGTAGGTATTTGGATCGAAGAGCTATTCGATAAGTAATTAATCGATAAAGTGATCGATTATCGCTAACGTGAAAATCTCTCAAGAGTATGGTTAATTATCGATCAACTGATCGATAATATCAGATAAACAATCGAGTTACTGATAAGAGAACCAAATCTGAAGTGTATTTATCGATCAAGTGATCGATAAAACAGTCATCAATAACGACTTCGATAAAAGGTAACACCATCTACTTGTTCTGCACATTAATTCTGTTACCAATTTATCGATCATATTCTCGATCATTTGTTTATCGATCACATGTTCGAACATTATGCTCTAACTCTCTGAATGCAGGTAATCAACTTCACTGATGGATCGATAACCTTATTGATCATAAAATTATTGATCACATGATCGATAATCATTGCCTTTATCTACTCTTATTTAGTTTTCCTGCAACCAAATTATCGATAACATTATCGATAAATTTAACTTGTTTGCATAAATAACTTTTCACATAACATGATCGATAAAGAGTCTTATTCGCATTAATTTATGTCGAACTATTTTTCGATCACCTAATCGATCACTGGTTTTTCGATAATATGATCGATCATTCAATTCCCTGAAACTCATGTTTTCACAAAACGTGATCGATAATCAGTTTCCTTGTCTTACAGGATTAAATTTCTCTTCTTACTTTATTCGATCATTTGTTCGAATATTCATTAATCGATCAACTGTTCGATCACTTCAGATAGTCTATGTCTTTCATTGAATATATACATACCCATGGTTTATCGATAACATTATTCATCATACATTTATCGATAAATTGTTCGATCATCAATGACTGAAGTTTCATTTCAATAACATTTGAATTATCGATAATCTGTTCGATCAAACAAGTGTTCGATCACTTGTTCGATCATGGAACGAATTCCTCTTTCTATGATAATTCTTAGAGTCAATGATCCAACACTTGATCGATAATATTGGTGAACTAATTCGAAAATTCTTCATTCTGTTTATCGATAACCTGATCTATCATCGAGTGATCAATCATCTTTTCGATCAAACTAAACCAGAATGACTTTCTGTTCTTCTTACTGATAAATGATTTCGTCACAAAATCTTTGAATGATAAATTTGTTTTCCTTGTTCAAGATTAAAGTATTCACCGCAAAACTCTCTTTTGTTCAAAGCTTAAAATATGCAGATTAATGAAAACGAGTGCAACGGCTCTTCAACGGGATTACGTAGACTGCAACCTACAGTGTCAGAAGCTCAGACGCATTAATGGCGGAGCCGTTGAAACCAGCGAAACACGCAAATGGAGTCACAACGGCTAGAAGCTCTTCCGTCTAACGGCTACTTAACGATATCAACTATAAAAGGCGCGAAGAAGCATTAATGAAGAGATTGAATACTGGAACTACCACCTGCGATTATCTAGTCTAGCATTCAATACTCTGTTTTTCACGTTACTACCGAGCATCAGTGTTTATCATTAAATTCACTCTGTAAGAGAGTCAATTACTACTCTTATTAAAAACTTGAGTGTTACTCAAGAGTGTGGACTCTTGAGAGGGCTTGTATCCTTACGGGAGTAAGGGGGAGTGATTGAGCGATTCAATTACTGTACCGAGGCACCAAGAGCCCTGTCGATCTTGGAAGATAGTGAAATACTCAGAGGTGCTCTGGGGACTGGAAGTAGGTCACGTGGTTTAGACCGAACCAGTATAAATCTTGTGTCTTCTCTCTGCGGTTAAATTTTCTCCTTACTCTGACTCTCTGTTTTTATTCAATACTGTCACGGTTTAGATTTAAAATTTTTGTAACTCACCCAATTCACCCCCCTCTTGGGTGAGATTGTTTCTAACATGTAGTACAAACCAGAAGAAAATGTAGGCAATCTTTCTAGTGTGCATTTTTTACCTGAGGTTGACTTTGTAATAGCAAGATATTCTTGATTTTCCTCAATTGTTGTTTCGATATGGTATCCATTCTTGCAGATATCCTTAAAACTCAACAAATTTCTTTTAGACTTAGTTGAGTAAAATGCACTATCAATGTATAATATTGTTCCTTCAGGTAACAATATATTGGCTTTTCTGGAGCCTTCAATTAGTTTTGCACTTCTAGATATAGTTTGAATGTTGGCTTCTTGCATTACCAAAGAAGAGAAATACTTTTTATTTCTAAGTATTATATGAGTTGTTGCACTGTTAACAAGATATAAATCTTCATGATTGACGTCGATAGGAGTCATTCTTCGTTACAAGGAACATAGTCAAGAGAGGGGGAAGAAACAAAATTAATAAAAGGAAAATACTCATAATTTTATTAATCGGGAAAAATAATAACATTGAAAGTAGAAACTTTATAAAAGAAGATGAAAAGAAAAAAAATCATAGAAATTTAACTTCACTAAAGCAATTTATTGTTGAACATTCCCATCACCAATCAGGTGATCAATCTTTCCATTAGGATCAGCAAAGAAATTAGCAATATCCAAATGAGTGACATCCATGTTGCCATAATCAGAATCGCCCTCTTCATCAACAAAATTAGTTTCTACTCTTGGCATTTTGTCGTTGCCTTTACTTTTATTTTTAAGCAATTCTTGATAAAGGTCAACCAAATGTTTCGGTGTACGACAGGTATGTGACCAATGACCATTCCCACCACAACGATAACACGAGTCTTCAGAGTGGTTATTACTTTCACTAGTTTTTCTTTTGCGATTCTCATCATTCTTTACCCTCTTTGAATAGGAATTTGAACCACCTTGATTATGACCACGACCATGTCCACGGTCAATGCGACAGCCCCCTGCACGTCCATGTCCTCGTTCACGACCACATGTTGGTCCATTTACTACTACATTTGCTTCTGGGAATGAAGTGGAGCCGGTTGGACGGGATTCATGATTTTTCATTAAAAGCTCATTATTTTGCTTAGCTACAAGAAGGCAAGAAATTAGTTCAGAATATTTTTTGAAGCCTTTTTCACAGTATTGCTGCTATAAGAGCACATTGGATGCATGAAATGTGGAGAATGTTTTCTCCAACATGTCTTCATCAGTGACTTTTTCTCCACATAATTTCAGTTGAGAACTGATTCTAAATATCACAGAATTATACTCACTAACAGATTTAAAATCTTGTAAGAGCAAGTGCATCCATTCATAACGAGCTTTTAGGAGAATGACAGTTTTCTGGTGGTCATACCTTTCTTTCAAATTGTTCCCAAGAATGAGTGGGTCTTTAATGGTCAAATATTCCATTTTTAGTCCTTCATGTAAATGATGGCGTAAAAAGATAATAGCTTTAGCCTTTTCTTGATTAGATGCCTTATTTTCTGCCTTAATTGTGTCTCCCAGACCATTGGCATTTAGGTAAATTTCCGCATCTAGTACCCAAGATAAGTAGTTCTTCCCAGTAATGTCAAGAGCCACAAACTCAAGTTTTGTAAGGTTTGACATGATGGCACTTTGTTAGAGCCTTCGTGCTGATAACGTGTTATAAATAAAAAAGAAGAACAAAGAAGAAAAGAATATCAATAGGACAGAGTATTTCTCTTTCTATTCAAAGGGTGCTCAATACATTGTATATGGCCTCTATTTATAGGCACGGGTTTACATCTTTGATAGAATCTACAGATATAATAATAAAAGATAATTGCAAATAATGGGGATAATGGGAGATATTGAAGATATTGGAAGATAAGAGAGATAATGATAGATATATGGACATCCATAAAGATATTATATTCATAACAAGTATTAATTTATTGCACAATTTCACTATAGATAAAACTTTGGATGTTCTTATCTTGTTAATGAATGTTTTAGATGTTCTTGGATGTTGACGGATATTATATATGATGATATTTTGTATCTGTGATTTAATTTTATTCATATTTATGTCTTTTATTAATAATTTCATTGGTTTATTTTATTTTTTGATAAAATATATGAAAAATATAAAAAATAGCATACTTGCTGAGAAAGGGAGATGGATGTGCATCCTGTTAAGATGGCCTATACCAAATATGGGAATCTTTTCTTGCTTGTCTCCGGGCTCAAGATGTTAGATGCCATACTTGCTGAGAAAGTTGGAGACGGGCTGGGGATATGGGATAGGAGTTGATGGTGATTTCCCGAGGCAAAAATTTCTCATTTCACTATAAATCAATGCTCCTATGTTGATTTTGTCTCCTCTCACTATTCTAGCCAACAATATGTAGTCTTCTTTATTCAAGTGAGTGAAGCCTCGACCCTTATTTACCATGCATCTAGAGTAGATGTAGTGAATAACCCTGAAGTAATCACACATCTCACTCGGACTAAAACACAATTGGCCAGGATACATGCTGCTCTGCTTCAGAATTTTGTAAGCATCGGCCGAAGTCATTTCTTTCTTAGGGTCATGTTTAAGTGTTCCCAATAAACAGTTGATAATATCAGGATCCAACTTAATGTCCTTTTTTCTCAGCTTAGAAGTCAGATAGCTTTTCATAATATTTCCATTTAAGTCAGTTGCCTCATTAATCTCCATATTACAGTAGAAATGCCTCACAACTTCAAGACTATAAGACATATCAATACTCAACCACTTCGCATAATGTTTCATTGGATCAGTGAGGTCCAAATTAGTTTTCTCATTGTTCTTCAAGTTTGTTAGGTCCAAATAAACTACTGGGCAAAATTCTCTATGAGCAAATTCAGACTTATACTTTCCCGTGTCAGTCCCCTCATCTAAGTTTCCTTCTAGCAATTGTCCACTGAGAATATTAGAAGCTCTTGAGGTACTAGAAGGATTACCATGAGGAGAAGGAGTAGATTGAAAGGTTTCTTGATTCTTCTTTTGCCTCTTTTCTCTAGCTTGACCACCGCTTTGAACGTCCTTGTCTGTGGGGGTCTCTATCCTTCAGGGACTGTAGGAAGTTTCGAAGTTTCCTGGGAAGTGGTAGAGGCTTTACTTTTCCTTGGAAGTGGCAGAGGTTTCTTCTTCGTCTCACTGTTTTTTCTTGGACCTTTGGCCTAAATCTCTTTTTTTTGGATGGCACTGGATTGTTGTGGATGAGTCTGAGAGCTATCCCCATCTCCACTCTTGCTTGGGTTCTTAGTTCTCGCCATTTGCGCTAACCAGAGAGTGTGACTTAGGGCTTGCGAATTTGATGAGTTCAAATGTGCTTGTAAAAGGTTGGATCAGGGGGGAAGGTGGTTTTGATCGAATTCGAGAGTTTCTGAGGTGAAACTGAGAGAAGATAAACAACTTGGGGACTCGAGAATGCTAGGGAGAAAGCAGATGATGGCGTTTGGTACGAAACCGTGAACCCAGATGACTATACGGCGTCAAGCGTGGGAGAATTGGGTTTGACCCAAGCGCCTGCGGTGACGGACAGAGACTTATCAATTTTATTAGTGTAATTAATTAAAGAAAAAATAAACATTAATAAAAAAAATATCATTAGTTCTTTTGATGTAACATGGTAATTATTTTTATGTAAATATATTTTTAATCTAATTTTGGAATTATTGTAAGTGCATGCCTAATTTAAATTGTTGTAGAAATATAATTTCATTTTTATGCCACTAAAATTGTTTTTAGATAAATATATAAATAGAATTCTCAAAGACAAAAACGTATGCAGTAAGAGTCAATTTCTATTAAACTTCAATTAAAGTTAAGTAGAAAGTAAAAATAATAATTAAAAATATAACAAATTATTTTGATATATGCCACTAGAATTTTTTTTTAGGTTTGTGTACATATGTTATACGCATACACTCATCCCATTTAAGGATTTTTCACATTTAGGCAATGATATAGCGCAAGCGGTAAGGCTGACGTCATGTAGCACATGCGGTGCCTTTATATTTTCGATTTATTTTCCAGCGAATACAAATTTATCCCATTTTCGAAATATTGCGAGAGAATCAGTTTTATGGGAGAAGTTTACCTTTGGATTTAAATAATTTATAGGTTTTTAAATCAATATCCATGTTAGGATTAGAATAACAATTTCCTTTTGCCATTGAATTTTTTATAAGTTACGAATCTATTTAAATAATTTATACCTAAAAACACGCATTAAGTTTAGTTTTTACTGGTCTGATTTTTAGTTTTACAAGAAGACTTTGAATACTTTATAAGATTAGTTTAATAAGATTAGTATCAGAATAATGTTTTTGGATGAAAATTATTGGTGAAAAACAGGGCAGGAGGTAGCGCATGCAATAACTTCTGTACCGCATGCGCTATTTGCACAAACTCAACTCCCAGAGCGAAGGTTGATGTCGTGTAGCGCATGCGGTGGATTTAAAGTTTCGATTTATTTTCTAACGAATATAAATCTATCCCGTTTTGGAAATATTGCGAGGGAATCATTTTTATGGGAGAAGTTTACCTTTGGATTTAAATAATTTATAGTTTTTTGAATCAATATTCACGCTAGGACTAGAACAACAATTTCTTTTTACCGTTGAATTTTTTATAAGTCACTAATCCATTTAAATAATTTATACCTAAAAAACATGTATTGAGTTTAGTTTTTATTAGTTTAATTTTTAGTTTTAAAAAGAGTTTGAATACTTTATAAGATTAGTGTTAGAATAATGTTTTTGAATTAAAAAATAGGGCAGGATGTAGCGCATGCGGTAGCTTCTGTACCGCATGTACCTAAGAATAAGAAATTTTTTTCTTTTTTTCTTTAGGCTAGGGAAGAAGGCCAAAAAGAGATTGCATGCGATACATTAAGGACCAATAACCAACTTTTTTTTCCAGCGAAATATAACATGCCCTAAAGATGGAGCGCATGCGGTAGCCCTGATATAGTGCATGCGCAACCGTGGCACTGCATGTCGTACACTTACGCAAACTAACAATACGAGCTTAAATTGTTATGTGAATATAACATGCCGGTGGAGTTACATGTGATGTAATACCGCATGCCGTACACTTGCGCAAACACCCTCTCCCGCAGGAAACATGTGGCGCATAAGGTGATTTATTTTTCAGTAAATATAAATTTATCCATACATGTTGCGAGGGAGTCAGTTTATCAGAGGATGACTGTGCATACGGTATCATCAAATTCCATACAAAAATTTATAATAAACAGAGTTAATTCTTTTGATAAGTATATTTGTTTCAGGTAAATATATAAAAACGTAACATGTTGGATTTATTTTTCCTGTAAATATAAATTTATCTGATTGCATTGATAATACACAAGTCATTTATTTATCTGATTTCATTCATAATATAGAAGTCATGTATAAAAAAATTTTATTTTTAAATTTTTTTATAAGTTACTAATTTATTTAAATAATTTATTGCCAAAAAACACATATTGAGTTTTATTAGTTTAATTTTTAATTTTATAAAATTAGTATTAAAATAAAGTTTTTAAATCAATATAATAAATCAATATTAGTTAAAATTTTAAAAAAATAATTTTAATTGTTATAATTTTCAAAGATAATAATTTAAATTACTTTTAAAATAGTTATTTACAGGGGGGATTATAGAGGATTACATCACAAAAAAAGGTTTTTCTAAAAACCTACATGGCTGCCTTTTTTAGCTTGAGATCTTTACTAGGCAAGACTTCGGGTTAATAGCAAACCCGATCCAGTCTGCTCCACGCATAACCCTAATTATAACAATAAGCAACCTCATTATGTCCCATCTAAATTGGTTAACTAACTTCCGTGCAATGGCAATATATTATACTATTGTTATTTTATAAGAGACGAAGTGCAACTCGAACAAAACAATTTGACCAAGTAGAGTAGATTTTGGTCACTAGAGAAGCCCAACTTATAGGAGAGGCTAATAAGATGACACCTATTTTAGTGCGTGAGCGGTTAGAGAGGAGGGAGATTAAAGAGGAATAGAGGTGAAGAGTTGTATGAGAAATTGGTAGTTAATGTGAAGAGAATGGCCTCGAGGATACAACTGTTGAAGCGCTTAAGGCTAAGAATAGAAAACTAGACGGTGAGCTGAATATGTATAAGGAGAAATGCATGAATTTTAACACATAGATTTTGATGATGAAATTGAAAATGCAATTGTTGATGGGGGAGCAGAAAAACAAGAGGGATTATGGTGCTAATAGTGACCTGTCTTTTTTAGCCCAAGGTCTTTACTGGACCAGACTTCGGGTTGATAACAAACCCGGTCCAGTCTGCTCCATGAATTCCCCTAATTTTAACAATGAGCAACCTCATTATGTCTGATCTGACTTGATTAGCTAACTTTCGTGCAATGGCAATATGTTATACCATTGCTACTTATGGGAGACGAACTGCAACTCGAGCAAAACAATTTGACCAAGTGGAGCAGATTTTAGTCACTAGAGAAGCCCAACTTATAGGAGAGGCTAACCATGTGTAACTATTTATTGAATGTCTTCATCTATAGTTTTATACTAAACCTACGGTGAGTAAGCCAAGTGTAATAGGATAATTACATA